CGGGGGTCTGCTTTCAGACTGCGGGCCAACCGCCAGTAGGCGGTGTGCGATGGCTCGATGTCCTCTAGGAGAGTGTCCCACGTTGTATGTCGGTGTTCCGATACACGATCTTTGACTTCTAGCTGAAGGCGTCGAAGTAGGGTTCGGTTCGATTCCGATCGGTATCGGTCGAAAGCGCGTTTGGCTGCATTTTTCTGCCTAATTAGCAGTCGCAGGTCGGGCGCAAGGTGAAAACGTTGGTCGCCCGACAGTTTAACCGTCCGTTCCGAGTCTGCGACTGTGGAAGTGATGGTTTCTCGGAGACTTGCTGTCACTCGATTTGCGTCATCGAACGTAGCTATCGTCCCGGGTAGGTCGACTAAGTCCTGGGGGTCCAAGGCCTTGAGTTTGACCTCAAGACGATGCCAGTCCACTACGGATTTGGTCGGAGGGACCGCGCCGGCGTTCTGGCCCAGTTTACACAGGACGGGCCTGTGATCTGAATCTAGTTCATGGATTGTCTCTATCGACTCGATGTCGAGCGAGACCTCCTTGAATAACATGATATCTAGGATACTCGGTATCGCGTGTTGGTAGTTGTCCACCGTAGGATGCCTAGTGGGAGTCGTAGGAGCAATTATGCTAAAGTTTAAATTATCGGATAAGCTAAAGAGATGCTTTCCGTTGTTATTTGGGATGCTGTGGATGTCCCATGAGCCGTGTTTGCAGTTTAGATCTCCTGCAATTATCACGGAAGGACCTAAGTTAAGTAGCGTATCTAGGTCGCTTTGTAATAAGGTTTTGTTCCCCGAGAGGTAGGCTGAGACTAGTACAAGCGGCCTATGGCCGGTGAGCGCTAACCTACACGCGGATGCCTCTATATGGCTTAGATCTGGAATGTCGAGCGGGCTACAGTGCAAGGACCGTTTGTAATAAATTAAGGTGCCTCCCAGACGGTTTGCTAACCGGTCGTGGCGGACTATGTTGTAGTTTGCGATTCTGGGATCGCGAACATCTACATTATAATCGCGAAGGAAATCTGCGATTTCGTCCCTTTGACCCTTAATGCCGTTTGCGTTGAAATACGAAACAACCAGAGCCCGAGGTTTTGTTCTACCTGCGGTTGTACTTCCCATTAAAGTTTTTTATGAGTTCTAACTAACGACGCGGCGGAGCTCGGTTTTATTGCGCGGACTATTAAGTTTATGGTTGGCTTGTAAATGCCCAGAGGGCTTCTACAAGCATTTTATGTTCGCTAATGGCTTTAAATCGCGCGGTGCCAGATGTGGCGGCCGCTATTTTAGCGGACAATACGGCGAGTTCTTGTCTGTTAATACGGTCTAATAAGGCGCAGATGTTGGCAATTTGTGCGAATGGGTCGTCCTTGTTTTCGGCGAAAACCGACGGTGTTGACTGCACCTGTGGCGTCGGCACCGTTTGATAGGCGGGCTGCGATTGAGCGATTGGTCGTGAGGCGACCGGAGGCGCAACTACCTGCGTGGCCACCTGGGTTTTCTCCCATGCGTTTTCGACGGGTACGGGCGCGGGAACGTATTTCACGGGCGCGGGTTTGGGCAAAGTAGATTTCGCGGGAGCTTTTCTCGCGGGAGTTTTTGGGGCCTTAGCGCAGCCCCTGTAACTAGCCGGGTGGCCGGTGGTATGACAATTAACGCAGTCCGGTGGATCTGCGCAATCTTTTGGCCGCGTACAATCGGACGTGCCGTGGTCACCGGTGCATTTGACGTACCTAGGGTGAGCGAAACAATTATTAGCCGTGTGGCCATAGTGTTGGCAGTTGTGGCACTGCGCCACAACTCCCGATCTCCGCGGGGGCCCGATCACGAGGTCGCTGAGCCCACAGAACCTCTTCAGGTTGAAGATGGCCTTACCTTCCGGGGTAGGGTCAAGTTCAACCATCACCATGTCCATAGGGACACGGGTTCTAGGGTGACTGAGGCGTCGGACGGCATGTACAGGGTATCCCTGAGTGCGGATGTCGGTTTTCGCCTTGTCGACATCCGACTCTTTGGGGACGCCCTTGATAACTACCCGAAGCTTGCGTTTTTCGGGCAATGAGTAGGTGTGAAAACCTATCTTGTTTCGCGCAAGTATTTCGTTACGCGGCGGAAATCGTCCGTTGTGTCAAGGTATACGCGAATACCCATTTGTGTATTTTTCGACCGGGGGTCGCGGATATTGTGGCGTTCAAACCACGAACAAATTTGGTGCCACTTAGCCTTCTTCTGAATGATGATGGGTGGAGGAGGCTTTATTTTTCGCTCGGAGGCGAATTCGGGCATCGGTTTAGCCGCCGCGGCCGCCTTTTTGGCGGGCGTCGCGGTGGGTTGGTTTGTTGAAGCGGCCTCGCATTCGGGGTCGCTGTCGGCAGTGGGGCGTTTTTTGCCCTTCTTACGCGACTTTACGACGGTGAAGCCGTCGACGTTCGCGTTTTCAGCAGGGGTCGTTTCGACCTCCATGTCTGATCCGCCGTCCGATTGTGAGTCGGGAACGACGGCGCGGAAGGGCCGAGATGGGATGCGCGGAAAGCTCGATGGGTACGATCGCGGCGGCGGAGGTCGACGCGACGGGCATTTCTTGTGTCGCTGAAGGCGACGCATTAGCGGGCGCAGAGGGCACCGGAGATGACGGCGAGGCGACTGCCGGTGAAGCCGGGCTGTCGCTGGCGAACTCGACGACTAAACATTTTTCTTTGGCGAACGCGAGAAAGTTTGCCCACACTTCGGGACATCGTTGGCGAAGGAATTCCTCTAGGAGTGAACCCATTTCGAGCGCTTGAGCCTTTGGGGCTTGCACCCCGCCGGCGTGTAAGTAACTAAATAGGCCTCCCCACCTTGTGGCAGGGAGGTATGTGCCTAAAACTAACAACTAATCCGCCTGCGCTTTAGGTGCGCTAGGGTGGGTACCTAGCTGTCGCCTATCGCAACAAGCACACAGTTATTAAATAAAAACAATGCCGCCTCTGAGGCGAGAAGTGTGTATAGAATTCTACTTACAGAATAGGAACCTGCCTACGAGCACAACACTAACACTAAACTACTGCACTGCTTGCACAAAGATTTAAATTGCAACCGAAGTTGCGAGTAGCGTCTAATTCGGGTAGCATTAGCCCTCCGTCTTAGAGAGAGGACCGTTCCGTACGAGAGCACGAAGCGGAATCACAGTAGAAGTTGCGTGGTCCTACCAGAGCAAAATTCGACGTTGTGGTTTTTACTTATTGCCCCGGCCTACTTATTCGTCCGATTTGTCATTCTCGGACATTTTACCTGTTTCCAAAAAGGCACCTCGGTGGCCTAAAATGTTGATCGAATAAAAAGGTTGAATATCGGGTTAGTATCAGCCACGTTTACTGTTGGAGAGTAGGTATATACATCGTTCCAATAAGTACGTTTTCATTATTAGGTAATAAAATTTTTTTTTTTTTAAATTATAATTGTTATAAAATTATCTATGTTGTCTATATAAGTAAATCAGCATTGTTATTTTAGGTATATATTGTTCTTATTCACATAGTAGTAAAAATTAAATTAAATTTAAAAGAATAAAATTTGATATGATAAAGTCCGTAATATGTATTGGCGTCAGTTTTGAGTGAACGAAATTTTCGATTGTCGCCGAAATATTTTTTTTATTCATGTTCTTCGACAGTGTATGGGAAATATGTGCTATCGACCTGTGAAAGTAGGATATTTTAGGTGGGACGTATAATAAAAGGCATATACAAGGCCTTTTATTATACAAGGCGTACGTATTACGCCTTAGGAGCAGTTTGCTTGAGTTCGATAAATTGTAGAGTCAGGCCGACACGAACGCAGATCCACGCCTAATGGTTTTCTTTTGCGGATGAAATAACATTCTTGAGTCAAAAGTGATCTCAAGGTATTTTATATTCTTCTGACAAAGGTTTGGTTGGCCGTATAAGGTGTTGCCCTAGCTTCCTCTTCCGGCGAGTTCGGGACATGGGAAAGTTTGAGTTGGCTGAAGCGTTAGCTCGTTATATGTAAGTAAATCCACATAAGGAGATGCGTGATCTGTTAAAATTTGCGAGACGGACGTCGGGTCTTTTAAAATGGAGCTCGTGTAGAGTAATGTATTCAGACTAATTAATTATTTCCGTCTACAAACATTATATTATCTTGCTCGAGAGTCACTATCTTAATTATTATGAATCTATGTAGTATAGAGAAACAACGAAAATGTTAAAAGTATAAAAACATTTTCAAACAGTAATTAGGCGATGATGAGTACTGAGGTGCTATATGTCTAATATATTATGATTTAAATTTGTTGAAGTGATTATGTTCAATTCATTACGTCCATTTGCTGACATCTTTTTCTAACCCACTATGAAGGGCGAGTTTGTTTTTATTTACTATTGTGACACCTCTGATATATATTTGCTGATGTTACGACTATATACAATGTACAACTTAAGCCATACTTTGGAATGAGAGTCAAACAAACGTGCAAACAAAGATAATTGACTTAAAGCCTGGAGCGGATTATTATGAATTGATTCTTTTAACGAACTTCGCAAAGATGATTGTGATGATACTCAGCACTCTAATATAATAGAACAATCTGATATATATTTTGAATTTAATCTATTTTTTTAGTTACCACAAGCAAGAAAAACTTTTTATTCTTTTATACTCCTTAAAGTTCATAGCAGAGTAATATAAGCTTGTTTTCGTTAGACAATATCTACTAAAATTATTATTTATTTATAACTTTCTCCATTAAATCCTTCGGTAACAACGCAGGTTCATTTCAATTAATTCATAATTATATTTTTTGTCTTAAAGCTATACAGGTTATGTGACTCATAAAGCCTTCGCTGCGAAGGTTGCCCAGCTGGTCCCTACTTCAGGCCTGCACGCAGTGCTTCCACCGCAATCTCGCCGTGTCTTCGTTTGGAGGCAGACCACCGGACGCGTCCGCGCGCACTATACTTTTATGACTTACGAAAGTTCAATACAATAAAGTTGTTTTCTGAAAAAATAATGGCTCGTTATCTGTGGTCATGTGTGACAGTTTTGTGTTTAACGAATTTCGCACTGGAAACTACGGAAGGACAATCTGTGGTACGTTTTATTACATATGTAAAGTCCTTATGTACAAAAAATCTTTCGTAACATAGTAATGCTTTTTAAATATAGAAAAATATTTAACGTAGTAGAATTTCATTTTCCTTTTTTAATACAAAAATATCTTGATATCATGATTATAGTTATCACTCTTCGCGGTTAGTGTTGATTGATTTACCGCTGTTTTTCCCTCATTTAAATTATGCAATAACTTTAGAATTGCAATCACAAACATAATGAACCTTTGTTTATTTTTTTTAAATGTCTTATTTTTGAATGTACAACATACCTTTTTAAGATATTTTGTATCATAAGTAAACGATAATTCGAATAAGTTACATTGTTAGTGTATAGATGATGACTTTCGGCCCTTTTCAAATTTGCTATTTATCTATGTATTTACTGGAGACAGAATTTTGAAATAAGTATAATGGAGCTTATGTTCAAATACCTATCGCTAGTATAACCAAATCTACAGATAGATACGAAAAAAATCTAGGGATACATAGAATATGGAAAACGCCCGTTAAAGAACGTTAGACTAAGTATTGTAATAGCTAAAATAAAATGAAAAATAATAAGGTTCAAACAATTCATAAATCAAATGTCTTCACCATCTAGTAAATGCGCATGCGTTAATTTAATTATCATAGATTTTGGATTTATTGGTATGCCTAAAACAATGAGTATAAGGCTTGTAGTAATTCCTAAGCGAATTATTTTACTCATTGTGATTATTAGAAATCGTTTGATTGCAAAAGTATGTGCAGAAACTTCTTATTTGTCTCGAAGCGCGCATGCAATGGCTGGAGTGCGATAAATGTAGTTGGAAGTGAAACGGGAAGCCGGTCACTCGTTGGCGCTCCTTTTACGTATGATAACGTGGTTCCACGTCTAGATGATGGGCACGTGCTGAGATTGCGCCACAGATAAAAACACGGTTGTTAAAGTTTTAAATTCTTACCATATATGTGTTAGTGGGCCGTTTAAACTTTTTTGTGACGCAAGTAATTATGTTCACATAAGAACATAATACTTATGTATATTATTCGTGTTTTAAGGGGCAGTTTTCTTTCAAATTTTTGCTGCGTATTTTTAGATTTTATGAAACTTTATTAATCGATTGTTTTATTTCAGTCAAGTCTTTTAACTTGATCATTGCTACTGCAAAGGTTAACATTTTTGGTATAATCTTCCATGTAATATATCTAATAATCTGCAATGCTTATCAATATTCTGTATAGTGCACACTAGCCAACATTGGTTTACTGCAGATTCTGCTCCAGTAACCAGTTGTGGCATGGTCAAAACAAACGGTGTGTGGCGCATTGTATTATTTAAAGTAATTTTCGTGGTAAAATGTCAGCTTTATACGGCCCTTGGACAAAATATCTAGTGCGTGGCGATATAATTTTATATAGAACCGTAGGACTTTCATTGTTGGCTTAGTAATTGGCCGCCATATATGTGATATGCTAGTAAATTATTATTTTTTATGTTTATTTTCTTTTTTTAAAAACACTGCCCTTACTTTAGGATAACACTAACCTGTGTTGTAAGGACGTTTTACAAACATAAATTTCACGCTAACAAACACCCAGATGCGAAACAACTATCAGTGGGTCGCACAAATAGTTGTCCAGTGTGGGAATCGAACCCACGACCCGCGACACCGAAGCCAATGCCTTGGCGACTGCGCCACGGAGTCATCGCATTATGAATCTGTCATTATGAATCTTTAGTAAAGGTTTCATCTATGATGTTACTCGCACGGTAATGTTTTGAAAACTTATATGTACCAAAGTCTCCAAAAAGTTTTTTTGTTAAGTTCTGAGCTTTGAGTATTTAAATGAAACCTTTATGTAAAGCAATATATATTGTATTTACGTTGATACTACACACCGTTAAATGAAACTATTTTACGGATTTTATGCTCTATTAACAAAATTAAACGCATCAAAATCCGGAAAATAGGTAGTTTTGTTTAACAATAACGATATCATATATTCACTGAGTTTTATTTTAAGACACATTTGAAAGAAACCTTCGGTTTTATTTTTCATTTTTGTTTTAGTTTTGCCGAGCTAGAAAATAATGCCTTTGTAGGAATTTGTGTTTACTGCGAAGTTTCGAGGGAGTGAATGTCCGCATTTCCTACTCACGCTTCTATTTCAATAATCGTAAATACAATTATCTGTCGGTAGTCACGGTAGCCGCTTAATAATAACAGGTGTTGTCCTTGTAAATATTATCCTACAAATTCGTTACTTAACAACGTTTAAAATTATTTAATCTAGTGCATAAATCTAGATATTTCTGTACCTTTAGTCACACTAGATTAAATAGTCATATTTAATATATATGCATTACAAATTTTTACGTTGGGCTTAGGATATAAGTTTTTTTTATAGGTAAATTTCATGTGCATAATTTTAAATCATTCAGACGTTCAGATGGAAAATGAATGGAGACATGATAATATTACATACTGTAGGAGTTTATTAAGGCGACTTAAAAATTCGACAAAGACGTAAAAGCTTACGATTTTAGACACAGACAGAGATAATCACCTAACATAGTTATTCGTTTGAGAAATCTCAAAATGTGGGACGTCAGTTGGTAGATAATCAAGTTGTACGTTACTTTCGCTTTCGTAGAACGGTATTACGGACTGTTATGCTGTGCGCGTCACTATTTGCATATTTATGCAATCTCATGCATTCGTCGTGTTAACATTGAAAGTTAGAATTAGTTAAAACTTTTTTGTAATGGATATAGATAGTTTCGATTCTTTACATTTTAGCTACTAGGTAGGTACTATTTTTGTAAGCCCTGTAGTTTCGGGCTCATAGAATAGAGCTAAGGTATCTCCTGCCTGTCGTAAGAGGCGTCTAGAAGGGGACATGGAATGGCAGCATCACGAAGTGATCTCGTGCTGCAAGACGGCGAGGGAATCGGGAAAGGTTTATCCTTCTCCAAGGCGTGCTCACGCGCAGTACTTAGGGACACCGCTGCGTTCCGTACGAGATCCCGGAGTCCCTCCAAACGTACAGAAGGTGGCCGACGAGGGGGGCTTATTGAGTATTAAGCCCACATAACTCTGCCATATCATGACAGGGTATCTTTTGAAGATTTCCCCCCTGATACCAAAGAAAAAGGTACTATTTTTGTAATAGTTAGAACCAGATTTTACATTATTAAATTAAGTCACAGTATATTCCTTAAGTTAAAAAGTGAAAATTGTGATTTATTAAAAACTTTTTTGGCCAAAAATGAATTCAATATTCAACTAATCTTTGATAGTGATAGTGAAAATGATAAAAAGGCGTATCCCGTTTGAACTCAATAAGTAACGCCTTTTATAATTACGTTTGCTTCATTTCAATTTAAAACAAATTAAAACAACGTTACCACGTCGATCATAACGACCTGTTTAACTATATAAACATTTTAATTACACACGAAGTTATCTTAGATCGCCGATAACAATCGAAAACGTCCGTATTTGTCTATCCGAGTTTTAACAAGATCTTTTACTAATGTTTAAATAATTAACGTGGTAGGGCAACAAAATATTACTTAATAGCTACACGTTAATCGCTACACGATGAAACCAGCTCGATAAGGGAAGTACCAAGACTTTTACCAGTCCCTCAGTATAGCCACGTTAAACACAATTATTTACACTTAAGTCGTAACCCCCAAACACAATTGTTGAAAGCACTCCATTTGATATTGTGAGTCTCCAAGAAAGGCGAGTTATTTTCCATCAGGCGAACTACGCACTCCATTGCCATGCTCTTAAAATATTTTTTTTAACAAATAACGATTGACGGCCTATTTTATCTAAAATGTTGCTATGCTGTTTTACTTATAAATCTAGTTGTCTCTTTGTTGCTTTGAGACATTTAAAGACAAAAAAGGCATAGTATAATAGGGGAAAACGGAGGATTAAACGTGTGCCGCATTGCGATACGCAAATTGCGTCAAATAACGTCGCGGTTGTTTATGCAAGATGCCGACAATCTCCTTGAGCCTTTCGCAAGCGAATGTATCTAATCACGCGTGCATTCGTATTCGAAATTATAGTATAAGGACGTCCAAGGCAGTCGTTTGCGATTTCATCGTTTTGATATTCAGATATAGTACTTGGCCTTCCAAATTATGAAGACAATCCTCTAATAAGACGGTATTTTTTAAAGTTGTTGCAAACTACCGGATACAGCTAAACGGTATTGAGTTGGACGGTGGTTAATAAAGCGATGTATTCTTGTGTAACAGTTCCGATTGCCATCTTAGTTATATTATGTGACAGATAGAGTTAGGATTGACAACTCATTAGGTTACAGTTTATCGCCTTCATATCGAGATTTCATACGGGAAGTGTATTTTATATGGCAAAAATAAAATCAGAGACAGTCTAGAGACAAGGTAAGTGAATGTCGCCCACTACGAAACAACATCCGGAGCGTTGAGGATCTTTAATATATTTTGGTAAAATATACACATAACTTAGGAACTTATCAAAGTCTCTGTTATTGGCCATTACGCGATCAGATACAAATGTGGTAATTAATAAAGCAATTAGAACTTGTTATCTGGAAACCTTTTCTAAATTGAGCGCAATTTGAATCGCTTTGAAATAAAGTCATAAAATATTGAATGAAATGAATGAATGAATGAAATGAATGAATGAATGAATGAATGAATGAAATATACTTTATTGTACACAACCAACGGATATTGAAGAGTCAACTAAAATAATACAAAACTGTACAATAGGCGGCCTTATCGCTAGGAAGCGATTTCTTCCAGGCAACCTAGTAAAAGGAAATAGTAAAAACAGTAGCATTGGGTAACGGTGTACACTGAATTAATAAGAGAAACTTATAAGTCAAAATATAAATACATATTAATAAATTATACATAAATACACATGCAAACACGATATATAAATATATACGTTATAAATAATGTATAAGTATTTAGATATAAGT